GTTTCAGACATTTGCTACCGTCTCATTTTTGATGTAAATGTTTAGCCGATAAGTCACTGACAAAATTAATTATTACTATCCTCTACTATTGATTATCTCTGCAACATGTATATTTACAACGGCAAGTACCAAATTCCGTAGATACTTTTTCATTCAGTGTAATATTACCTATAATGCATTAAGAATTTAAATCCTGATTATCAGATGCCAATAATTCGTTCCCTTACCTAATTTGAGTTAGCGGCCTCACTTACTAATTATCTCGCTAATAAAATGGAAGCTGTGATTTTGAAATTTTACCGATTATCTAAATGATGCGTTATGAGTAGTATTAGTAGTACGATATCAGTTGCTTGTTTTGAATCCATCATCTTCGGGAATGAAATCCTAGCAAAAGATAATTTTGAAAATGCACAGCAGTGGTAATGATATGAAGACTTATGTTCCATAATAATAATAAATAATAATAATAATAATAATAAATAATAATAACAATAATAATAATAATAATAATAATAATAATAATAATAATAATAATAATAATAATAATAATAATAATAATAATGAATTATTACGAAGAGGTCATTCGTTCATTTGCGCAGTTGAAAACGGAAGCAAAGTAGGAAAACTGTCGATTGATTTTTAAACTTTTCGTACGTACACATTTTGATGTACGTCTATGAGGTTATCAGGTTTGTAATGAAAGAGAGATTATGTGTTGAAGAACTGTGCTGCACAACAGTCAGCCATAGCAGTATATGCGGTTATCGTTTGTGGGAAGGTCGCGCTCTTCAGTTGATAAAATTCATTTCTATCCGACAAAAAAGAAATTCCAACGTCCTCTGTCCTTTCTATTGGAAGAGAATAACAGAGACCAGCCGCGTGAACAATGATTTTTCGACAGACAAAAAAAGTTGTCTCTGCATCCCTGAAATTTCTTTCTCAAAAATCGATTCAATTTATTTTATGATTTTTTCATCTTCTATTACCAGAATTTCGTATTACATACCTGCAAGATTCGTGTATTTCTTTCTCTCAACCTAAATTATCCATGAAATTTCTCCCTGCCTACCTTTTTTTTCTTTTTGTAATCGAAAGCATATTACAACACATAATTACACCGTTGAAATTCTCGTTGACATATTTTATTGATTTGCAAGTTCTTATTTATGACTTCCGCTTTCTCATCATCCCGTAATAAGATGTCTAGATACTATGGATTATCTAACGTAATTCCGAATATCGTAACATCTGTATGATGGTACTTTGTCACACAAACTATGACCATCATCTTCCGGATAGCTCTGTTGAACGGATTGAAATTAGATGGAGGAAATTGATATCGAATGATGTTATCTGCGAATGATAACTCTTGTATAAACAAAATGTCCGCTAATTCATTGGTCATATGGTAACATATAAATAGTTTTTCCTAACATATACAGGACAGCTAGACTCTATTTTCCTATTATTATTTAATCGTTCATTTCTTCAATCTATATGTAAAACTGTGATTAGAAGTAAAGAATGCAACGTTTGCAAAAATTGAAAATGTTCGACAGTTGTTTTGAACGGCAGTTGTTCAAACTGCCTTTCGTTATGCTATCTTATTAAGTGGGATATCTCAAGAGGGCATGTTGTTGTATCTTCAACATCATCACCATCACGAAATGCTGCTCCCAATGCCTTGCAACATCAGAATTTTATAAAATTGGAAGTGAAACACATATAGGTCAGCTTTTGCCACAAAATGTCACAGGAAACTGTAAGACAGAAACAGTGCTTATTCAGTTTTAGTTCTCTTGCTAAGGTGCAGTAAAATTTATTGCAATTTATTCTTCATAATGGTACTGTATGATTTTTATTTGATGTGTTTTTATAAGCAATGATAAAATGATAACTAATATTGCAATTAATCCTTTAGTTGAAAATTATAATCTGATCTAATTTTGCATTCATTATTTGCTAAATGCAATTGACAATGACTGAAATGAACAGAACTATTACTTAAAACAACTGCCACATATTTCAGTCTTCTTTTTTCTAGCAATTTACATCGATTCATATTTCTTATTACAACAATTAACAAATTTTCGTTGTATATTTGAATAAACTGTTGCTGTCATTAAAACACTTCAAAGCTAAACAGACTGAATTTGATTTTGTTAGTCAATGATTAGGAATTATTAAGCATCTTTCTTTTCTTTTTTGATTACCTTAGAAGATATATATGGTCGAGGAAAGCATCCTGTTAGCAAACGACCATTTTGTAAGATATCCGCTAGGATGATAGTTCCGCCATCGTTCAAGATCTTCCATTAGTATCTCACGAGAACTGAGAAAGGACAATGGTATGCTGTGTGGCGGTGTTGTGAATGATGGAACTCTGATCTCCAGTCGCTATAGACCAATGTTGACTTTGCAGTTCAAATGAGGGAAGTGACCTTTTTCGAAGCTTAAAATGCTTAATCGGTAAGTACTTTCAAAGGAAGAATGGTAAATATCAAAGATCTTTATTTTTGCCCCCGCTTTGTCCCTCTCTCTCACTCCTGACTATATCATCTTCCGTTTAACAACAACGACAATAGCAACAACAAGACCGCCTGGGTAATAGCTTCAAGAATCAGTAAGATATACAATGGCTGCCACAAATATTTCCCAGTAGATGGTGGCGAATAATTCCCTAAGGGTCACTCGACGGTATACTACCTACTGATAGGATTCATTTCTCAATCAGCTAATAACGAATCATTTAGTGATAAGGACTGAAATGAATATCTGGTACTTGATCACTTCATCAATTTTAATCAGGGAGAAAGACAGACCGACGAATAAACAGAAGACAGACACCGCAAAGCACACACCGATGTTATGTAAATATGATGACGGATGGAGAGACAGATAGACACGCACATACGGACACACACACGCGCACACATACACACACACATACACACACACACACACACACACACACGCACACACATACATATACACAGACAGCATATACAAACAACAGTCGGAAGACTTCACCAAAACTGGCTTGTTTAACGGTGCGAAAAGGCAAAGCTGGCTGCAAGGTTGCTCGGGTAGATGGTGGGTGTGTCTCCATCTCCACAACACGCAAGTGCATGTATGCATGCACACCTGTATGTTAATGCATGCGTGTGTCACACGAAGAGAGGACATTGCATGCGCAGGTGTTACTAAATGGGTACAGGTGATTAGTGTCTACCTGTCTACTTGCCTGTCAGTGCTCAGTGCCCTCTCGTGCTGGATATGAAATGCCTTGTCGAATTTTAAATTATCATTTGTGGTAGTGATGGGGACACCACCACCGTCATCATTTTCATCAATTTATTTGTAATAAGGGCGTAGGTCAAAATGAATTACATGGGTGATATTCTGAGGGGTCACATAGCAAACCTGCTTGGACCTGGAGACGGAAATGTTTTGACGGCAGTTCATTGAACTAATTGCTTTTTCAGACATTAAACGCACTGTTCATTTTTCCTATTACATTTCAGTTATTTAGGAATTTGCAGGACGTAACGGAATGGAAAGTGGACAGGAAGCTAAGGCAGCTATCAAGAATGTTTGCTATCGCGGATCTGTCCACTCAAGCTTTCTTCTTATTTAATCCTCATTTTTTTAAAAATTCTTTCTCTTCTTTCTGTTTGGTTCATTTAAAAATAAATTGGGGAAATTTGCCCAATTTTTTTTCGCAGATTTATTTGTTTTTTTTTTGGATTTACTGCAATGATTGAGGTCCATCATAGGTATATTGTAGTGGCTACTTGTTGTCCAGTTTGTTCAGATCACTTAATCCGGAATATCTAGAAGATCATAACAAAGGGTAGGAATACCGTCATTTCCTCATCCTGTCGTGTTTATAGTAAATACTTCGTGACTTGCTGTGTTAATTGATAATGACGTTATCATAATTAATTGTTCATTTATAGCATTTATTGACATGTACGATGAGAACAGTAACGCAGCAGCAGCAGCAGCGGCAGCAAGCAGTACTTCTTCAACGGGTCTTATGTCACAATTGCTTAATGTTAAAGATTCCAGATGGTTACAGTTAGAAGCAAGTTTTATTCTACTCAAGATCCTAATAATCCTTAACTTACTGCTGGAAACAAGTTTCATTTTGCTAATACTAATAGCAACCAACTTTTAACTGAGATATTGTGCTTGTTATTATTGGCATTTTATGTTAGTAAGTGTTGATATTTATTGGGTAAGGATCAAACCGGTCTTATTTCTCCTAAAAAGCACATCCCTTTGAATCTTAATATACCCACTTATGACGAGATAGAATCCCTTCAGCAATCAACCGTCTTGCTCATTGATATATCATTTATTTAACTTTTCCACTTGTATTATGCATTATCTCTTTTATTTAGGCTCCAAAAAATATAACTTTTTCAATGTAGTAATTTCTAGCGCTTTTTTTTTTAACCTCATGGATAGGAACGTCAGCTGTTTCCTGTTCCAATTGAGCTTTCACTGCAGTTGTTTTTTTAACGGTTTTATAAGAAGATTAATAAGTTTGGCAAGTTTTGGTCTGTTTTGAAAAACAATACGAAACGAGAAAGCATTTTTGCTCGGAGAGTAAATATTTATCGCAAATAAATTTATGATATCGCATAATTGTAAAAAAAATTGGCTTCAGTGAATAATTCAAAAAGTGAACCAAACAGTTCTTTCTATCACACAGTAAATTTATTTCCACCTCGAAAATTATTTTTGTTTCTGTAGAAAATTAGGAGTCGAACTTTCGTTTCTGCTGACCTTTAATGAAAAGTTTTGTCTTGAAAGGTTTTTTTAAGTTTTTTTTACAGTAAAATAGACATGCCTGGATTCCAGGTATGTCGTGAATTTCAAAGGGGTCAGTGTTCGAGATCAGATGTCGAATGTAAATTTGCACACCCACCTCCACATGTTGATGTACAGAATGGTCGTGTTACTGCTTGTTATGATTCCATTAAGGTTTATCTTTTCCTTTTTACTCTCTCAATCTCTGTAGAATTTATCTTTCGTTATTCGCTCAGAGAGTAATAAATCATTTGTTAGGTACTTCATAACAAAACAAAAGGGCGATTAGATGATTATGATGGTCGTAACCAACAGATGTTAATCCTGTAGGTCGGGGAATTTCAAGAGTTTTAAAATTAATTTACTCACCGATTGCTCAATTCGTTCCGCAAATTTGTAGTGTTTCTTGTTGTTTAGTTTTGTTACTATGGCTTTTCAAGCGTAAACACAGGGATTTTGTATTTTCGCCATTTATAATTTCATTAGTACCCGTGGAAACAGGAATTTAAATATAATAGGTTAACTGATTGTTGCTCGCATAAATTCTTCCGCTAAGCGAGGAATAAATTATTTTCACCTTACCGAACTAATTCTACCCTTTTCTTTTTCTACGGATCTGATATTATGAAGCTGAAGCCTTGGCCTGTAGAGTCTAGTTTAAGAGTTGTCACATAGTTGTCGTTTAGCTAATTCATTACTTCGATAACCCTTCAAGTGAGTTAAAAAAGATTATCTTTTTATTATAGGGTCGATGCACGCGAGAAAACCCAAAATGCAAGTACTTGCATCCGCCACAGCATCTGAAGGATCAGTTATTGATACTGTTATCACTTTTTAGTACTGATAATGTCATTTTAATAGGAAGTGTTGGTTTTTTTTTCGGATTCTCGAGAATTATCCGTAAGTGATAATTTTCCAATGAAAACTAATAATCGTTAAGTAATCTTATAGAGATTTAGGAGAAAAGATGATTGATTATTGAGAATTAGGAAGGATGAAGGAAAAAAGTGGAAGAAAGGAAACTTGAGAGTAGTTGTCG